TTTTTTTTTTTTTTTTTTAAAGTGGAAGATGACATCTTTAATAGTCAATGCCAGATTTCACAGTGTTTACTCTACAAAAATTGCTGGGAAGTGATACTGTGAGCATGAAATGAACAGGCTGAACCTTGTGGTACAGAGGCCCTGGATTAGGGGCTGGGAAGCATATGGAAAGGAACTTTAAGTCCTGAGTTGCTTCTCCTGCCTTTTTCTCAGACAACATTGTTTCAAGCTCATTCCCTTATTTCCCAGTTCAGGTGGAAGCAAACTTCTAACWTGTGGTGACATTTGTCAAGACCTTTCTTTTTTAACCATGAGCATGTTGTGATGGCACCTAGTGGGATAACATTTATATGACTTCTTTTCTGCAGACAATCATTTAGCCACAGGCCTATGTTSTTTTAAGATTTGAAATCCTGCTTGCTCAAAGCTTTGGATTCACTGTTGCATTCAGGACTAAGGCAGTGTAGTGTGGTGCTGGTCTGTAACACAGCACATCCATCTCATGCAGCAGGGTGCAGGAGAGCTCAGAGCAGCAAGTAGCCAAAGGGCAGGTTCCCCTTTCATGAGAGTTGCTCTGTTCTGCTTCCTCCTGGTGTTGCTGAGGGTTTGTTTGTTTAATTGGAGCCAGYAGGATGCTTTGCATGCCACTTGCTTTTATTGCTTAGCTGAATTTTCTTCTTGTATTCCAGTGAAGTRTTGAAGACGTACAATGTGGCCATGGATTACCCCACTCTGTTCATAGTCATCTGGAATTTTGGAGCTGTTGGAATGATTTGCATCCACTGGAAAGGTCCCTTGCAGCTCCAGCAAGCTTATCTCATTATGATCAGTGCTCTAATGGCATTGGTGTTCATTAAATATCTACCTGAGTGGTCAGCATGGGTGATTCTAGGTGCAATCTCCATCTATGGTAAGTCTGGGTTGTGACTTCCAAAGTGTGGCTCCTGGAGAGGTCACTCTGAGGCAATCTCAGGACTCTGTATGTTCTTCAAAAATAGGACTGTAGGGTGCTAAGAGCTTTAGACTTAGATGGGCAATTAAGTCGACTCCTCGTGTAGGCAGTGTACTCCTGTCAGGTCTTTCAAAATGGATCCCCAAGGCAGGGAAGGACCGAACCTTGCCTAGCTGCATGGTGGGGGTGGTTGGATTTTTATCCATAGCAGCCTGATAGTCTTGCAGGTTTTATTTACTGTTATCGAGAGATCATGGATTTTGGTGTGAGGTTTCAAGAACCTGCAGAACGAGAGGGAGGAGATCTGGTGAAGGAGGGAGGGAAAGCATGAGGTACTGGAGCAAAGGCCTTCATTCATGTGAAACATGGAGACAGTGTAAGCAGTGATGGATTGTGGAATGTGAACAAAGTACCCCCACTSCTCCTCTAATTAAATTTAACATCTCAGTGAAATGCTGCTGACTGCTTTCAAAGAACTCGTGGTATTCTCAAGGGGCTTTTTATAGGATTAGCACAGTGAAAACTCTTATTATATTAAGACTTGGAGATAGTATTTTAAGTGAACAACACTTTCAGGGACTAGAACAGCTAGAGTTAYGCAAAGTGGTGGGAAGTGCCATTCAGGAAATCATCTGGTTTATATGGATAGATGTRAATTTGAGGGGATAATGTCTTCTTAAAGATAAAGAATGTAAAATATGCATGACAGTTCAAGATGAGACTGGTCCTTTTCTTTCTGCAGATCTGATGGCTGTTCTCTGTCCCAAGGGGCCACTGAGAATGCTGGTAGAAACTGCACAGGAGAGAAATGAGCCCATTTTCCCTGCATTAATATATTCCTGTGAGTAAGATTAGWATGTTAATGTTTCTAGCCAGATTAAACTCTGTTAAAACAACTATTTCTGTGTCAAAGCAAGGAGCACTCTCATAACTGCTTTCTTGCCTTAAGAATGGTGCATATTTATGTTCTGGCACAGACCATTTGTAGAAGGCCTTCTTTATCAGTTACAATGGTGCTAACTCTAATTAGCCAAATGGAGCCCACATGTACCTTGTGAAGCYGAATGTTCAGAAGCAGATTTATCCTTTCATGGACATAGTGCAGAATATGCCTCCTTTTTTTTCTGCAAAGCCCTGTGTGAGGTGTGCAGTGTTTTTCAAGTTCTGTGATTAGGTGATGCTCACTCAATACACTTATTCCTCCCTTGTATTCTTTACAGACACACTTTACATTTGTGATGAGGCTGCATGCTTCCTGCAGCCCCCTCTTGCCCTCTGCACTGTACAGATGGCAGTGCTTACAAGGTATTTGCTTTACTGTTCATTGTTTGGCTCCTCACTGTGCAGAGGGCTCCATTCAGGTATTGCTCTGCAAACAGGATCAGTCATCTCTTAACCTTGGCTCTCTYGGGCTGTTTAACCACCATGGTCTCCCATGTGCTTAAGATCAAGATTGTTGGAAGGCAAGAGACTCAGCACTCATGGGGTCTGTACTCAAGTGCTTCATGGACCTCAGTGACTTTTTCATTACATCACTTTCAAGATGAAGGGTTATTTCCAAATGTTTGGATGCCTACAACCTGGCTGCTGTTTTTTGATTTTTTTTTTTCCAAGCATTTAATGTTGCATAAATGCTTTTATGTGTTCCAAGCAGTCTCTCAGTTGGCCTCAGCTGCCCTCCCTTTTACAGGAGATTCTGTTATACTGACCTGAGACAATCTAGAGGAAGTCTCTCACATGCTTCAGTTAACAAACAAGAGTTTCCCTAAAGGACAATGCAGTTCAGCAAAAAAAAAATACTGAACAAAAAGTTCTTGTGCCGAACATCAGTGTCTCCTTTGCGAGACCACATTTTGTGGCTCCCTCTAGATGCAAAAACATCACTGTGAAAAAGCAGGCACTGTGTTTGCCTTGGCTTATTTTATTTAGCTTCTATAAAAACAGGGAAAATGATGCACACTTAAATAAAAACTCATTTGAAACTAGTTCCCTTACACTGACTTCAGAATGGTTTGTATTCTTTTTTAATTTAGGGATCCATCCCAAGAATAAACCCCCAAACATMAGTTGCTATTGGAACCAAAACAGAAATAGCTAGTATTTTGACAGCATGGAACCAAAACAGGCCAGAGAGAAAACCTGCACTCTGACAACTCCTGTAATCCCTTGCTCGTGTGCTGTACCTTCAGCAGAACGAGTAAGCTGTGTTAGTTAACCTCTGGTTACTTTTGTATTACCATCATTCCCTGATAAATAGGTTTTTTTTTTTAAGATAAAAGCCATAAATCAAGAAAATAAAGGAGATGAGGACCCTGATTCTAGAATTTTGCTTTCTTTAATCCACAGAGAAGACTATATTGACTCTTAGCTATTTGTGCTCTGGAACTTTCTTAAAAACTGAATGGATGCACTGCCTTGGCTTTCTCCCACCTTGCCRTCTCAGTGCCTAGGGAAACCAAATGTTTTAAAAGCACTTACAGGGACAAGGGTTTGTATTTTTAGGTACAGCTAAATACTTAYTTCCTCTGAGCTACACTGGCCAATATTTTATGTAGGTGATTCCTTTTTTTCTTGCAGCTGCTATGATGTGGACAGTTGGAATGGCAAAGCCAGACACAGCAGCAAGAGGACCAAGTCAGCAGACATGGGATGCAGGTTTGTTTGCATGTCCCTCTTCCATACAGAGCACTGTCTTGAAGAAATAATGAATATGTKTGAAAGTAAACATAAGCCTGAATCGTGATGGCGGCTTTTTTTTCAGTGTTGTTACTTGCAGAACTCAGTGATGTTCAGAAACTTGCTGTTAGGACTGGCAGCAAAGATGACCAGACARAGTAGGAAGATCCAGTATTCAGGCCACTTTTATTTAAAAAAAAAACCCAACCAAACAACAAATCAAACAGAAGTGTTGTTCAACACACATCTTAGGTGTACTGAAGTCAAAGCTGAAAGTGGGTTGGGGGGGGTTATATTTTTCCTCACTGGGGATGATAAATTACAACACAGGCTGCTAAATATAATACTGATGAGCTGGTGAACTTCAGGGTGTTGCATTCAGACCAGTGCCRTGGAGCCAGGTGTATTTTTACCTCTCTGTAACTGCAATATGGCTCGCCCTGCTAAAGAAAGTAAATGTCTTTACCTTGGCTAAAGTCTTGTGTTAAGRCAGTTACCCACCAGCAGCTGTTTTGATCCGAGTTTACATTGTAGCTTGTTTTGCGGTAATTTGGGTGGCTTTGCTTTTATCTTCTTGAGATGCAAATTAAACTGCAATTTTAAGGTGATTGAGTAAAATCTTACTTGTGGTTTTGGGAGGATTTCCTCCCAAAAGTCCTGCTGCACTTCAGAGATGACAGTACCTTTTAATGTTAAAGCAATAAATGCTTTAACWTGCTGCTTATTTCAGGATGAAGCAGCTGACATACTAAGGAATGGCAGGGACACAATCCTGCTGTGAAACTGGGCACAGAGCAGGCACAGGCTACTTGCTGAGGGCTCAGAATGCCTCTGTGGAAGCTCTGAGCATCCCAGATCACAGCCTRCTTGCAGCTGCAGCAGTGCAACCTGTCAAACTGACGTGGACTGAACAATTTGTAGGAGCTTTTGAAAAAGAGCAACTGTCAGATATAGTCATATATCACAGATTGGCTGCTTCCAAAAGTACTGCCAAAGGSTCTGTCAGATGTGTTTTAACAGAGAGGGAAAAGAAGTTTAAATCTGTGAACAATGAAATGTGTCTGCTTTCTACATGTGAACAGTCAGCTCCAATGTCAGAGTGACTCAGGACTTCTCTCATAAATGGCAGTCCTCTTAATCATCCATTTTTGTATTATGACTAGTTAGGGAGTACCAGGGCACCTCCACCCCAAAAGGTRTAACACTGTGGGAATGCATATTAACTGTAGTTGGTTTTACTTGTCATTCTGGCATGTGCAGAGCAGTCTTAGGTCTGTGTACGTGCTCACTTAAAGCCTTTGAGCTCCTGGGTGGCTGCCAGAGAAGCTGTGAACTTGCACCCTTCCAACTGTTCCAAACAATAACGTGTTTCCCTCAAAGCCACTAAATGCCTCTGCTTCAACTGGTCCTGGTTGGTCACACCTCCAAGAAACAAAGGGCTTACCCAATGCAGGGCAGCTTCACAGGTGTGCATGTCATGCACTAAAACATGTTCTAAATGTACCTCATTTGTCTCATGTGTTTATTTTTTTTTGTAATCTGCTTTTGGCCTGTTTTTGTGGAACCAAGCTGAGGATGGGAGAGAACACCTCCAGAGCCCTTCACATGCAGAGTCTCAGATGTCAGAGAGGAGGAGTCCTGTTCCAAGCCGCCCAATCACTTCTTTAGAGGAGCTTGAGGAGGAGGAAAGTAAGGAAGGCTTTACACCTTGGTTTCAGTGTAGTCAGAGCCTGTCATTTTTACTCTTTGTGGTTAGCCCTCTGTTACCTAGTTTGGTCTAATCACAGTTAATTTGAAGAGTTGTGACTTGCTGAGCAATGAAGATTTTGAGTCTGACTGTGTATTACCTCTTGCTGCTGCAGAATGTTCTAGGATCGTGGTTCCAGTGACATCTGTTGGCTACATGAAGAACTTAAACAGTTCCTTCTTTCCTTAATTCCTGTCCCTCTCTGTCTCTGTGCTTCCTCTGCTGGTACATCTGTAAAGCAGCCCAGGGAAGCACTTCATGATGAAAGAGAACAAAAATAATTAGTGGGAGGAGGGGCTGCAAGTCTCAATCTCCTCAGGAATGTGTTGGTCCAGGTTGGTAGCCAGGACTCGGAACCTTCACCTGCTCCCCTGGGGATAAGAATTTGTTCAGGATGAAGCAAAACAGGAGGCTCAGAATTAACATTTRTTTTCTTTTTCTACTTCTTTCAGGAGGTGTGAAGCTGGGCCTTGGAGACTTCATATTTTACAGCGTGCTTGTTGGGAAAGCAGCTGCCACGGCTAGTGGAGACTGGAATACTACACTGGCCTGCTTTGTAGCCATTCTCATAGTAAGTGAGCAGCTTTTAAAAGCTCTTGCACCCTGCTCARCACAGAAGTGTTGCCAGAAGTAACAGCAGCTGAGCACAGCTAAATCAGTCCAATTAACATGCTAGGTATTTAGGAGTGCTCTGTCTGTAAAGACAGGCTTTAAAGAGCCACTGCAGCAGAGTGATACAGACTAATCAGAGCAGAGCCAAATGTGGAGATGGTGGGGGTGAAACAGCCCCAGGGAACTGCTGGTGTGTTTGCTTCAGCCCCAGGAGTCAACATTAGGAACTCCACACTGATTAGCAAGTGTAGTTGAAAAGKTCAACTCTTTTGTGCTAAGGGGAGCTGCTAGATAAGAGGATAAAGACCTATAATATTCTAGTATTTGCACTGGAAAAATGAAAAGGAAGGAGACTTATATCCATGGAAATTATCAGTACAAGTAGATGACTAACATATTCTTAATTGTTAAAGGAGTCAGTCCTGCCAGTCTAATGAACACACACTTAAGCTTCACCTGGATGGAAAATAATTACTATGCACTTGCTATTTACCTCGATATGCTCATGGAAACTCACCAGAAAGGAACAGCAGGATTTTTAGAATGTAAAATAAAATCAATTATTGTGTCCTTCTTGGGCCTTTCCARCTGCACAGGTCAGAGAAACCCATAGGATCACCAAACTCCATATGGTGCAGTCCARTATGGAGTCCCTTTGCTGGTGGAAATATTCTTGCTCATCTGTCTTGGGAGGCCAAATGCCCCATTCTGTGTCTTTYATGGTGTTGTTAAAAGTTGTTCCATCTCCTTTTGCAGTTTCATAGTCTTGCTGCTATGTGGCTTTTTTGGTTCCCAAAAATGTCCCTCCAGTTTCCCAGCAGTGAGCACATCTTTGAAGGGAGATGTGACCTAAAGAGCAGGTGTAGACCCTGAGAGAATAAGAACAGAACTACAGGCTCASGTGGATTGTGAACAAATTTGCAGTCTAGAAACACTGATTAAAAAAAATAAATTAAAAGATCCTGTCTGCTGATCTTAAGCTATGGATATTTTTGGAGCCTAGTGTCTTTGAAGTTTTGTCATCATGGTGGAATTAAAAAGGCTCTGATGAGAGTAGGAATTAGTATGTAAAGATATTTAGCCATAGCATCTACCCAGAATATACAACAGCTTTCTCACATGCTTCAAGAAGCAGATCCTGGCCTGCTACCCAGATAAAAACTGAACTCACCCATTGGATAGTAAGCAATCCAGCAAAAAAAAAACCAGCACTGGATATTTGATTTTGTTTTGTTTTTCTTTGGTTTTTTTTACTCTTAAGGGACCTTGTAAACTGCRAATATAAGCACATCCTGCTGTGTATAAGAGACCTTCAGTGGAACTCCTGTCTGTGCAATTCACCAGGATTTAAGTGCTTTTGTCTATTGGATCAGTACTTCGTTCTATGCCACTCATTCACAATGGACAGAACAAAGAGTAAATAACCTGTAAAGAAGTTAACCTCTCGGGGCCAGTTGTACCTCTGCATTAGCTGTTTATACCACTTTCTCAGCAGAGAGCTGTGCTCAGGATTGCTGAGGAAAAACCTGGCCACCTTGTGTGGAAGRTGAAGCTGTGGGCAAATACTGTGCTGCTGGGAGCTCAGGCTGGCTTCAGTGCTCTACACAGCATACAGATAATTATCTGTATATTGGTTTGTTGGTGACAGATGTATTTCCTGTTGTCATACCATTACCTCCTTGTGTTTTTTATTCTCTTCTCTATGACAGGGTTTATGCCTAACACTTTTACTACTGGCTGTTTTTAAGAAAGCACTGCCTGCTCTTCCTATCTCCATCACCTTTGGCTTGATCTTCTACTTCTCGACAGACAACCTTGTGCGACCGTTCATGGACACCCTGGCCTCCCACCAGCTGTATATTTAGAAGAAGTGGGAGTTAGAGGATTCTTTTTCAAGCTTTGCTGTGAAGTATGGTACAATGTTTGGAATAGATTATAAAGTTTTTACACTTAGTGCCATATATTTGTAAGGAAAACACTAATTCTGTGACATGCTGTGTACTAAAAATCTAATAGTTATATGTTGAACTGAGATTTTTCACAGGACTCTTGGTGAAAAGCCTGGCTCCTTGCTGATGTCAGAGTGTTACTCTTACCTTATTCGATGTGCACAGTGGCTGTTGCAAGCACAGAAACTTGCAAGTGACAGGGAACATTGGAGAGGTGAGGGGTCTGATCTTTCAGGAGCTAAGGTGTTTTAGCCCTGGAATTGCAGTTAACTTTAACAGTACTCTAGAATTTCTAAGTCTTCACATCTTTGCAGTGTTGTGCAAACACAAGGTGCAAGTGATTGGARTAGCACAGCAGGCAGCATGCACAGAGCAGTACATGAGTGTTAGAGAAGTGAGGCTGAGCTTCCTAYGCTGGCTGCTGTGCACACAGCATCTGTTGAAATTGCCCCAAAGGCCTCTTTATTCTGACCTTAGTTAGCCATAGTGAGCTATGAGAGATCTAGATAGGATGTTGGGATGCTTGGGATAGGATGGCTTGTTGCTTGTTGGGATAGGATGTTGGGATCTAGATAGTGGTGGGATGCTTGAACATGGGGCTCCTGGCTCTGATCACATTCCCCACTGCAGCAAGAAGCTGATGAAGGCAGGGCTGCTCCTTCCAGTGCATCAGATCCTCAGCATGCAARAACAGATACTGCTCTCTCCTCCCAGTGTTGTAGTTTTTTGGAAATATTTTTCTGGGTCCATACTACAATCTTGAAATGACCCTAAGGTGAAACCGACTGAACAACTCCAGTAAATYAGACCTGTAACTTACTGTGTGTGTTTCTGGTCTCATTTCTGTGYATTGCTGTAACTACTCTAAAGGAGGATTTACCTTCCCTTTATGAAGAGGTCCTCTCTTACACTGACTGAGACTTGGTTTACCTAGGTTTTTGTACTGTTAAAAGATTATTTTTTTAATTATGAATTTTAAAATAGCTATTTACTGTCAAAGGGACTCTTTTGGTAATACTCAGTCATAGTTTGTATCAAAATATTAAGGTGCAAACTTTCGTCTGTTACATTACTTCTAGGAATAGCTCCACACACTCAAGTGAGTTCATTAGGAAAATCACAGTGCTTGATGTCAGTAAAAAATATATAGGACAGACTGAACCTTTATGTTTTCTTCACCTTTGAAAATAATTTTATTTCTATTGTTTTGAGTCAGTTTTTCAATAGTAGCCAAAGTTCTGTGATTTTTTTTTTTTTTTGCGTCTTACTCAGATAAGCTCAGTTTTCTTTGACAGCTGATCAGTGTCAATAAATGTAACGTTATGCGAGATTTTGTGAATACTGAAAGACACAGAATTTAATTTCTGGAAATACTGKTTAGCTAAGGCTTTGAATTACACATTTTTAATGCAGTGCTTTTTCCAGCAGAGCTGTTCAAACTCATCTGCTTTGATATTTAACGAGGACATGATGCAGGTGATTCAGACTAATTTGTAAAAATTGCATAAAGGTTTTTATGAGGTGTGTGTGTGTGCGGTGTGTGTGTGTGTGTGTGTGAGTCTGGACAAGACAATAATTCTTGCTCTTTGTTAGTTTTCCATCCTCATTTCTCACATTTGTATGTAACAGCTGCAGACAGAGTTAACTATTACTAAAAGGTATTTCCTTTGGAAATGTAAATCAGTAGAGCTTTGTTTGCTGATCTTTATGGTTTATGTGAGAGTTGCTTTTTCTATTTGTTTGTGTTTGTTCCTTTTAACTAAAATGGTTATGGGACCAAATTGGACTTAGAATCACTGGCAAACATGATTTTACTTTTTGCATTGCGTGGTGTAGAGAGGATGTGAATTATTTGTATATCCTGAAAGAAGAATCCTGCTTGGCTTATCAGGGTTGTAGCATATTGTTAAAAACTATTCTATGAAAGCAGAAYTGACACTTGAAGGAAACTGGGAGGGGAACCTTCACATATTGAAGGGTCACCACTGGTTTTCTGCAGATACCTGCTTGCCAAAGACTGGCCTTCCACTGAGTAATTCTGCAGAACTTAGAAAAATTGTAATTTAAAACTGAGCAAGAGATTCTGTCAGTGCAACAGAATGTATTGTCCTGGTGAGTGATAGGAGTGTATCATGGACATACCGGAGTGGTTATAATTGTGTAAAAGTTCATATGTATTTACTACAAATATATATGTGTTTGTGTGTGCACATACACACAGACATGCAAATTTTAAAATTACACGGAGTGATTTCTCATTTCTTTGAACATTTTTACTCGTGCATGAAATGAAGTTTTGTTCATGATGTTAATGTGCAGCATGACCTAAAATGTGAAATGCAGAGGTCAGGATTCATTCTACTCATAGCTGGCTACTACATGAGATACTGACTCAGTTACCTGGCTGCTTGAGTGAGCAAAGCATTTGTCTGCCTAATGTGTTCATTCACCTTGTTTCAACTTGCTGCATGCTCTGAAGAAATCCTACTGCTCCCACTGATGTGCATCCCTGAAACAGCACAGCTGCCAGGTAAGCTGGGGTGACACCCTGCTTGATGCTGGTGTCACTCAGCAGTCTGAAGTYCTATAGGAGRTGCCACATGTTAACATTTTCCTGCWTGATCCTGGTCACACTTACTCYTCYTCTCCAGTCTGAAATGARTCYTTCATTGCATCTAGTCTCAAGTGTAGCTTGGACATACATCAGTCTTTACGATCCAAGACTGAAGCCAAGTCCATGAACAAAAATGCAGTGGTGATCCTGCCTAATGCAACCTCCCAGTGRAATTTTTCATTGGTGGGATGTGTGGGGTTGTTCTGTTTAAAGTGTCTGCTGCATGTCAAAGACTGGAGATGAGCTCTGCCCTCAGAGGGTGCCCAAGAAGCAGCACAGTCAAAATGAAAAAAACTGAATCAGGGTAGTCCTTGCAGAACCACAGCTTTCATTTGATACCCATGGTCTCATTCATAAAACCTGACTTCAGGCTCTTTGTTCTTGCCTTCATAGGTACTTCCAGTTAGTCACAATGTGTTTGCTTTCCTCTTCCTTGTGACTSAAACTGGGTATTGGTTTAAAATGAATGTATAGTTATTTTTCTTTGTTGTTTCCCTCAGTCCCTGATAGYCGTTTCTGCATTACAGATGCTCCTTGGCAGCCACGCGAGGGCAGTAAGTCTATGTGCAGAAGTACCAGCCATTTTAAAGTACTCTGCACGTGCTCCTTGTTTTTCAGAGAGGCTGAAGGCTGTGGAGCCTCATTCATGGCAGGAATGAAAAAAAAAAAGCATGCATCCCACACCCCAGCATAGCTGCAGTTTTGGCCCAGCATGGGAGAGACTTTCAGGGAGAACAAGCTCAGCCTGTACCAGAATTCATTTAAAGCCAGCTGGTTTCAGTGTGATGCCATGTTCAGCACTGCAGCCCTGGGTGAGATGCTGCTGCTACATTGCACACTCTATTTTGTTTGGGTTTTCCCTTCTCTTTTTTAATGAAGCATCCAGCCCTAGTTTCATTCCTCCAAGCCCCAAGTGTAAGTCGGGCTCCTCCAGACATCACWAAATTCAATTTATTAGATAAATAAAGAGTTCTTCTGAGCATGTTCAAGAAAGGGATAATTACACTTACTGATTTGTCATTCTTCTCACTTCCAGTCTCCTGTTCTATCCCAGCAGGTCTTGCCAATCTCGGGCAAAAAAGAGCACACAGCTGTTATTCCAACTCTTGGCACTGGGAAATCTAGGCACAAGCTAGATAATACTGGATGGGGCCTTGAGTAACATGGTCTAATGGAAGATRTCCCTGCCTATGGCAGTGGGGTTGGAACTAGATGGTTTTTAARGTTCCYTTCAATCCAAASCATTCTATGATTCTCTATTGTTTGTGCCCTCAGGAGGACCAAGGGGTATTTAATTTACTTGAACTCAGTCATTTTATAAGAAAGCAGCCTGGAGAGATGTGGTATCTTTGCCAGTTCTCCTATCACACTGTTCGTATTCCCCCTCACACACTGCTGCATTCCTTGTTGAATTCATCCTTGCTTCCCTGCCCTCAGTAAGRTAAAGTGATGTGAGCTGTTCCCATTCTACAAGTGGGAAACAAAGCAAGAGAGTAAATCACAGAATSAAAGAATTGTTTGGGTGGGAAGGGACCTTAAAGATCATCTAGTGTCAACTCCCTATCACGGGTGGGGACACCTTCCATTAGACCAGGTTGCTCTATCCAGCCTGGCCTTGAACACTTCCAGGGACATCCACAACTTCTCTGGGCAACCTGTGCCAGTGTCTTACCACCCTCACAGTAAATAATTTCTTCCTAATACCTAATCTAAACTTACTCTCTTTCAGTTTAAATCCATCCCCCCTTGTCCAATCTATGTGCCTCCCTCTTTCTTTTGGGCTCCCCTCAGGTACTGGAAGGCCACATGACCATACTGGGTTTAAACTTGGTTAAATCCAAGTTTAACCTTGTATAAGGAAGWTCTGTCCACATCAGATCAGGGCATCCAACACCATCACACAAATCACTTTTTTTTTTAACATACTGCTTTGCTGCAGGTTTGCTATTACCCATCTATGTCACTCTAAATGCAAGACATTAGCCCTGAACACTGAAGGAGTTAAGTAAATGTGAACCATTAATCTTCTTCATACAACACATTTGATAGGGCCCAAGAGCACAAKCTGGGAGGTGCCAGTGCTCAGCACTATTTGTGGCTCATGATTATAAAGATATAAATAAGCAGAGACTTTGAAGTGGAACTAGCTAAACTCCTAGATATAGAAACCTGAGGCAGGTACAGGGCCAAGTAGTTGGAATGGAAGTTTTCCAAAACTGGGAACTGTTTGAGCCCTATCAAATGCAGCCTGAGGTAAGTGACAGCTCCCAWGGCCAATTTGGGATTAGATCTATGCAGAAATAAATGCCAGGAATCCTGGCACTCCTGAACTTGCCTTGCAGAAGTGGGTGRAGTAGAAAAAGCATTAGGCCTATTTTCTCCTGGATCATTGGTTTCTATGATTTCAAGGAGATTTTGCTAATCCCGGTACAAAATAGGAGACTCACAGCTGACTTGCCTTTAAGCAGACCAGGAACAATGTATAAAATGAGAACATGTGTAGGAAATGGATCCAACCTTTTTAACTTCTGCYGTGCCATCTTCAGTCTTCACAAAGCTTAATACAAGCAGTTAAAATTCTCCCTGATCTCATGGAGCTGCAYCTATGTATGAAAGAATATGAGCCTKCCTTCAAAACTGGTGTAAGGCAAGTGAGATCCCTGGAGCTGAAGGTAGRTATTCAGGATTATTTTTAAAGCTACCTAGCCTGTGTACCAACAGATAATTAGTAGCAATAAAATGCCAGTAGCATTAATAGAACTGTTCTAAACAGGAACGTCATTCTTTCATCAAGCCAAAAAAGACATGCCCTCTCTTTAAGCCCCTAGCAAATACAGTCTTTATGATATTCTGGGATGTTCAGATTTGAGCAATTTTTGTTCTCCAGCTATTGTGCTAAGATTGTTCCTGAGTGTTCTGTTAAAGTTTCAAGAGGTATGAAAATGATTTCACTTTCTTCTTTATGAAGGAAACCTCCCCTTGATATCTGTCCCCGTGTGATTTGGGTGGGCAAGCAAGAATGAAATGGCAAACACACCAAATTATTTCAGACAACTCATCATGCTGCCAATTCAGACTCCAGAATGTGCAGAAAAGTAATGGGGAATGGGGTTCCAGAAAATGKGTTTGCCCATAGAGACTCTGAGCCGTGGCAGCTCAGCCACAGGGAGAATAGAAGGCTTGAATAAACAAAACACCCCAGTGACATGAGCTAGGTTTACAGAAGAGGAGTGGGGTGCTGGCTTCTCTAGGCAGGCTTGTTATGACAGTGCAGCTACAGCTTTGGGGACTTAAATGGGACAGGAAAATGAGGGCTTCACAGGGGACATAAAACAATACCAAAAGCATTTAGGTTTGTAAAAGGTTTAAGGCACCTTCTCTGCTATTGTGGTGTGTACATGCTATGTACCACTGTCGTGAAATAGGAGTGCTGCTGCAGAGCAGAGCAGTGAGAACATCTGTATTTCTGGAAAGRAATCACATTTCCTTGCTGGGAAGGCAGGCCAGCAGCTAAACTGAAGCCACAGTTGTTCACACAGTTGTTCACACACAAGCCACAGCAGTGCATGGAGTGGATGGTGCAGGGTGTAGTCACTGTCCAGGATGCAATCAGCTGTACCTGGTGGGACTGCTGAAGGAAGGGGTCATCTTTGTGCTCAGACCTTGGGCTCCTCCACGCTAGAAATCTCGGAAGAGTCTGGGAGTTGATGGGAGAGTGAAACTTCAGTGCTGATTCTCAGCACTGCCATGCCTGAAGGCAAACCCTTTTCCCTGCACACTGGCACAGAGCACATGGAAAYTGCTCTGCTGTGTTTCCACTGAGGCTTTCCAAATGCTTCTTTAGGCATCAGAAGCATGACAGAGCAGAATGCCATTAGCCCTGTTTTACACATARGAGTTGAATAATTTGCTCAGGGTCAAATGAGGGGCTTAACCTGGATGTCTGGAGCATCTCTCAATCAGTCATTCCTTCCAGAGGCTCGTTAATTGCTGGTGTCCTCCTTTTAGTGGCACTTGGATACGTGTCAGTCAGGATGTTCTGCCACCAGTYGGTCTCTCCCTGTCCAGGCATGCAGACACAGATGTAGATAGATAGGGCAAGGTGGCTCACTGCTCTCCAGCTCTGTGAGACRTGGCAATGCTGTGCCAAAAGCTGGAGGCAATGGCTGAGTTTGGCAGCACACTTTGCCATTAACCAGCAGAACTATGATGATTTATGATCATGTGTTAATTCTTAGTTCCAGTAAAGTGYTCAGAAATAACCCCATTTGTCCCATGTTCTCTGGCTCCAGCCTGCCTTCCCATTTAGAAGAACTCTGCCCAAACTATTCTGATAACCCTTCTGTCCTTGGCAAAAGGCTTTTCAGTGGCTAAATRCAGGCAAGGAACTTGCTTCTATTTGCCTAGCTTCAAAATAAACCCTGTGTTTGCACAGAGGGTGAATGGCTTTGCCAGTTGCCGTATGCAAAGGGAATCCTGGCTGGAAACTACAAGGAGCTGRGCCTTTGTCCATGCAGGATTGGTTGAGGTACATGTAAACAATCAGGTGYCAAGGGCAGAGAGCAAAACACCTAACTATGCAAGTAAAAGCAATTTACAATGAGTAGAAACAACTGATCTGTCCAGCCCAGACAAAGAAGAATTACAGATTGAATAATGTTTAACTGAGTCAAACAGCGAAACAGAAATGCCATATTCTTCAGGCACACAGCTGCTAATGAAGCTACTGCRCTCTTCATCTCATTGAAAATGGCTTGGCTCCGTAAAAAGCCATAAAACTGTTATGCAACACAATCTGAACTGCCAAGTACAATCTTGTGAATGTTTTACTACGAGGCAGGGGCAACAGTCCTTGCCCTGCACTGTCCCAAACACTACCCACAGATAAGGACTGGTATTCCTTTCTTCCATTTAGTGCTTGAATCTGCAGCCTCTTCACCTGGCACTGTCCCTCTCTTAATGTACACCACCCTGACGGGCTCGTCTCAATTTCCAAAGCACCCAGTACCCACTTGGCACTCATGTGGTGAAGTTTGGAGGAGAGGTGGGTGGCATGAGGCACAGCCACGCCTGGCGTGGTGGTGGTGTGTTTGTGGTGTGCTGCACAGCCCTTTCTGGCAGTCTCCTGTCACTGAGGAACATGGTGTAAGTTAGGCTTGTTGTAGCTTGTTACCACCTCACCCTGACAGTAGCACCTAGTTTTGTGTTCTTTCATCATCTAAGGAGAGAAAAAAATCCATGTACCTAGATGCAAATTTCCAGTTGTGAGAACACAATTGCAAACCTTCTCTTTCCCTGGCTGGAGAGAAAATCATGTTATCCAGCATGGTGAGCATGTGTGTGAGGGTGGAGGGCAGGAGCAAACCCTGGTAAATGAATGATAATGAGGCTGTGATCTGCCTCACATCCCAGAGAAGAGAAATCCAGGAGCATACTGTTTAAAATGCCTGAAAAGTAGAATTGTTATCTTTTAGAGATAATTCTGGCATTGTTGTGCCTGCGCCCACCTTCTGTTAGAGTTCAGTCCTGTACAGACAMTGCCCTGGAGCTGTAGAGAGTGAGCCACAACAACCCTGTCCAGAACCACTGCAGCCTGTTSAGAACAGATAAAAGCAGGAGAAAAGAAATGACTGGGTCCTAAGCCTTGCTACAAATGCTACCAAAGGGCCTCCCAGGCTGTTCCCTGTGGACCCATGGAGATAATAAATCACCTCAGTGGTTTGACATCATTCATCCTTCCTTCCCAAAAGTAGCCCCTTTCTGGGTGATATGAAAAGGAGGGAGGTGTGAGCAGGAGCACACAGAGGGAAGGCCAAACATGGGCAAAGGGAAGGATTTTGTGTCTTCTTCACCCTCCTCTTTTTTTCATTTAGGGAACAAAACAGCCCTTTAGGAGTCCCGTCTCCTCCACAGAACCTGACAGACACCTCTGCCCACCTCCTCCCAGGGGTCTCAGAGCCCTCCAGCAGCCCCACTGGCATTCYCTGCCCTCTCCAGCTGTGCAAAATAAGGCTGCTCACTGAAAGCTCCAGAAGGAAAATAGGGGTGGGAATCGTGAAATTTCCCTCCGGTCACTAATGACASAACCCAAAGAAATGGCCTGAAGTTRTGCCAGAAGAAGCTTAGGTAAGATAATAGGAAAAGATTCTTCAGCCAGAGGGTGGTTGGGCACTGGAACAGGCTCCMCAGGGCAGTGGTCACAGCACCAAGCCTGACAAAGTCCAAGAGAAGTCTGTCAGTGCTCTCAGGAACAWGGKGTGATTCATGGGGTGACCTGCGCAGGGCCAGGAGTTGGACTCAATGATCCTTGTGGGTCCCTTCCAGCTCAGCATATTCTATGATTCCATGAGATACCTGTCCTGCTCCTTGCAATATTGTCTTCCTCTTGGACAGAAAATATTCATCTTGAGAACTGCCACACCACCTCCTTCTGACAGCACTAAATCATCTTAAAAATAAAGTGCTAATTGAAATGGCATGTTGTGTCTGTCCCTTGGCAGTGAGGGGAGAGGGGAAAAAGGAAGGACAATGAGTGCCTGAATGTTTTGGGATGAAAATACACAGTTCAGAAATCAAAGCAGTACTAAGCTTAACAAAAAGAGCTCATCATTTGGATCCTATGATGATACCGGATGTGCATCTACCACTGACTGAGTCAGAGAGATCCCATTTCTCTCTGAGAGCTCTTGCTCTCATTCTTGGCTATTAGGCCATAAAAATAACATACAAACAAGCGGTACAAACAGCATCACTGAAACCTGCCAAAGTTTTGAAATACCTACAAGCTAACTACTAAAACCAATCCATCTATCCAGTGACTTCCACTTGAGTTGTTCTATTTCATCATTCCTATATTATTATGATGATGGAACACCATAAATCTACGTAGTCAGAGACATTCCATCTGCCCTGAAGAAATTACCCTCTAGAGGAAATGAGTGAATACAAGGCAAAACCCTTCAAGAGGGAGCTTAYCTGAGCCTCAGCAGTTGCTTGGTGGAGGACTGAGGGAAACACTTCCAGAGCAGCTTTTGCTTTATGGTTAGCTGTATGAACATGGGAGAAGGATGGTGATGTGCATTAGAGATTCTTAGAACCACTAACGTTGGAAAACCMCTCCCTGTTCATCAAATTCAACCATGCATATTGTGATTGCAGAAACAGCTTGGGGCTGTCCCTATGGAAGAGAATTTCTGAGTGTTCTCTGAACAGCCTGGATAATTGTCAACCTAATTACATGACCAATCACTGCTTAATTGAGGTTCCATTAGCTTTTTTTCTGCAGGTTAGTAGTCTGCCTACTAATTTTCTGTTGCAGTGGAGCCCTTCTTAGTGCAGGGCCTAAAGATTCTTTCAGCCTCTGGTTCTCTTTCTTTTCATAGATGTTTAGCCCTTCTGGCTCTTTCCTTTCTGTGTTCCTCTCGGGGAACATGTTCCATAGTGTACAAGACTTCAAGGAAGTCAGCTTTCACCAGGTGCTTCAGGCAGTATCAGCACTGGCAGAGGTTTATTTGGGTGTTCCCTGGCACCCAGTAAATGGTGAGCAGACTCCTCTCAGAACTAACAGTGAACAGGAGGAGAAAGGCAATCCCACCCCAAGGCTGACAAGGGACTCTGCTGGAAGTCACAGCCAGAGACCCTTGGGMTCACCCTTCCTGGTGCCCTTCTTGCTGCTCCTACCCCAGACCTGCRGCAGAGCTGTTTATGCACCCCATGAAATCAAACCATTAAGCCCTTCATTACTTGAGTATCAGCAAGTAATATGAGGAGGAGATACAATGGCACAGCTAAAGCATCTGCTGTGGAGTCAGGACTGCCAGTTGCTACATCAAGCTTTCCCACTGACCTGCAAAACRAGGGTATTTGGAGAATTAAATAATCTTGAACAAACCATTTTAACATTAGTAAGGGGAAGGCTCTCGGGAAGTGTGACTCCCACACTACTTAAATTATAACTATTAGCTATAATTCATATTTATTATAGTTTTCATTATATTTATATTTATTATGAGGACAAATGGATCATTGTAGTATTTATAGCTTTATAATAATATTACTATAATCAAAATTATTATGCTTTTATTATAATTTAATAAAAGATTGATTTATATACTGCTCGTAGTCCTAAGTTTCTTGCTAGAAATGCTCACGAAATGTTGCTAGATAAAGCAGTATGTTGAAATTTGACAGAACACTACCAAACAAGTTACAAGAAGTAAATGACAGCTGTACTGCCAAAGAAATGTTTTCGCTGATTTATTAATAACATTCATTTATTGTTCTTATAAGTAATCAAGAGATTCCTCCAAGTCTAGGAACTTACTTTTTCAGAGAAGACTCTAGCTTGCTCTGAAAATTAAGATCTGCACTGCACATACCTGTGAAGGAGCTCAGCACAAAAATTACATGAGATTTAGATACTGATGCAAAACCTRTTAATCTGCAACAACCTCATTCTGCTGTCATATCACACTGGAGGCACTTAACCATTAATGGATGTCAATATTTAGGTATTTATAAAGAAGTTTCATAGAATCGTAGAACAGCTTGGGTTGGAAGGGACCTTAAAGTTCCTCTAGTTCAAATCCCCTCACCATGGGCAGGGACACCTTCCACTAGACCAGGCTGCTCAGAGCTCCATCCAACCTGGCCTTGAACATTTCCAGGGATGGGGCAGCCACAGCTTCACTGGGCAACCACCCTCACAGGGAAGAACTTCTTCTCAGTATCTATCCTAAACCTGCTCTCTTTCAGTTTGAATCCATTCCCCCTTGTCCTATCCCTACAGGCCCTTGTAAAAAAGACCTCTCTATAGGAATTAGATTTCTTCTCTCTACCCTCCTTGGAATGACTTTATGCGTTAATGTTTGCATAGCACACTTAGCAAATCAGTTCCTACACAAACCCTGCACAGATTYAGTGCCTGGATGAAGCGAGTGCCACTGCTGTTTCACCTACATGGCTTTGATGGAGAGCACAAAACCAGATTGGCGCAGCCTGGGCTGATTCACACAGGATTCCTGTCCACGTCTCCTGCCTCTGAACAAAACACAGTTTGCAWAAGGCCAGACTGCATATTCTTCTGAGATTTGGATGGGATTGGAGGAGTGCTCCATTCTCATTTCCTCTTGCTGAGCTTTCCCATTAAATAATAGGAATGTGAGTGAGGCTGGAGAGAGAAGACAAGAGCCTGCATGATGATTAGGGTCACAGAGTGAGGGTGGGGTGCTGTAAGTCTTCTCAAGCAGAGAGGAAACCTGAATTTGAACACCCCAAAGCCCATTGGAACAGTCAACTATGAGGCTGTTACCTAAACCACTGATACCCTTCCAGAAGAAAAGGATGACTCCMTGGCCTATTTTCAAGTACAACACTGCTCCTTCCTTTTTTCAGGATCAAAGGCTGTAAATCTCATAWCTGGTAGCAACAAACCAATCYCAAATACTGACAWTTTTTTTCTCTATTGCYRTTTTGCTTYTGTTTACAGGAAGATCTGCCATGGAGTAGCAGTAGTACTTCACATAAATCATGTTCAACTTTTTATTCAGAATTGTAGACAGTTAGGCAGCTACCCCCACAAAAATTAGCCTCTGTATTCTAGATGGAGTCCTGGGTGTCTTGTCCCTATTGCACTCAGGAACTAAAAAGTTACAAAGAGGGACATTATTTTTTCCAGCAGCTTCAGTCCAGCTTTCAGTCCTACCTCATTGCACTCCAAATTGGGTGGGAATACAGACACTTCTCTCTTCTTTAAGTACAGAAGGAGCTRGCTCTGAGCTCAAGTTCAATGGGTCTTTTAAGGCTGCAGAAAGCCTGGCAAGAGAAGGTGTGATGCAAATTGAACAGCAGCAGCAGAAATATCCAATGGTTTACCACGTGTGAATAAAGGGAACCAGGCAGGCCYGTCTTTGAAAAATGGGGAGAGCTTCATCCAGTGCTTGTTCTGCCTCCATCTCCAGCTATGGCAGCCTGCTCACACAGAAACCCTCCAGTTCTCCATGCTCAGCAAACTGAGTAAGAAGTGTCTCACAATTAATGCTGAGCTGATGCAAGCAAAGTGATGTTATACAGAAACTGAGCACAGGCATCCAAATTCAGTGAAGGAATAGATAAAAGGGTGTCATTAGAAAAGACATCCGAAACTTACCTCTTTCCAGCTGGTGGCATATATGATTTTTCTTTCATTAAAAATAGTATAAAATTAACCACAGATAGAGCAATTAATTTGTGTGACTTTCCAGAGGTGTGAGTACTGGAGAAAACTGGGCATTTTTTTTACAAAACTTTTCAAGGCTGKTATCTTATTCCAGTCATGTTTTTGCTTCATCTACACATTGAGTCTCCMTCTCCTTATCAAACATCAAAGTGGCATCTTTGGCCTTTCCATTTCAGATATATTGTGTCTACAAACAGCCCATGTGTTGAGCATTTTAATTAAATAATGTGCCTTCCCCAGGGTACTGTTTCTTTTTTCATCTTTCAAGTTCAAATTTAGCCTTTCTAGTCCTGACTGGGGGTGGCTTCTAGTTATTAATGTTTGGGTGATGAGTTTTGCTAAATTTATTTGTAACTGTCTGTTCAGAGCCTCGCA